GCATGACGTAGCCATGGTTGGGGGGGAGGGGGGGGGAGGGACGCGCACCCAACGTGCCTCCATGCGGGGGAAGCGCTGCATGCGTGCGGGGAAAAAGCTGCAAACATGCTTGTCCTGCACCACAGAGCCAGCGGCGGGAGCAATTAACCCTTCCTTCGTTAGGGCTCCTTTGCACGCTCAAGTGAGCACAGCCACCCTCCAGCAGTGCTGGCTCCGTGGCCCGGCTGCAAGTTGGTGCTGGCTTCGATCCAGGTGGCCTCAGTGTGGCCTCCCGGCACCTCGCAGCCACCCACTCCGGTTCTGCAAACCGTTAGCACTTTCTTCCCTCGTGGTTTTCTCGTCCGTTGACAGAGACGTGCAGGAAGGCAGTGCGAGTTAGCCTGGCCAGGAGCCAGAAGGCAAAGGGCAAGAGGAGACCGCCAAGCGCCTTCGGTGCTTAAACACTGCGAGGTTTAAATGGGTCCAGGGCTGAAGTCCTAATATTTGAGAGGGTGGCACTGGTGACCCTGGAGCTATTGAGCGCTGATGTGAATTAACACACTTTGCTCCCAGCTCTTGTGCTCATAGGAGAGGACCAGGGAGGTCAAAGCCTCACACAGCCCGACAGCGTCCTGTGGCCAGGGGGGACCCGCAACTCCAGTGCCAGGGCTGGGGGGGGGCCGGTGGCGTGGACGTCTGTCCCGCCTTGGGACAGGACCCCCGGCCCCTCCGCTCTGCCGACGAAAGCAGGCGCTGCGGGGAACAAAAGCCGTGAGTACCCCAACGCCGCCGTCCTGCAGGGTCTCGCACCCCAGTCCGGGCCCCCGTTGCTCAGGTGCTTTTGCAGAGCATGACCGGTGCAACCAGCTGCCAGCCAGCTGAAACCTCTTGTCTCTTCCAGACAACGCATCGGCCATTCCCATCCGCTACTGGTCCCCGGTCATTTTTGTGGCCCTTGCTTTGCTCGTGCTCTTCCTGACCTACAGGAGGACCCGTGGTGAAGGTGAGCACCCAGGCCCGGGGAAGGGGTGGCTCCTCTGCCCTGCTGGCTTGCGCCCAGGGCTGCACAGGAAAGGGTGGCAGCGCACACGGAGCCTTCATCCTCCAATGCCGGCAAGCGCTGCAAAGCAATTGGCTCTTCTGGGGCAGCCCGTGAGCAGGGCTGGGTTTGCCCTGCCCCAGAAAGCCTCCTTTTGCCACGGTTTAGCCTCACACCGAGGATTTCCCCCTTGCTTAGCTCTGACTTATAAAGTCCAGGAGTTTAACACATAAATCCTGCGCTTGAAGGTTTGCTTTTCCCCTCTTTTCACACCTTCAGGCCACCGAGTTCCACATTTGGCTTGTGGCACAGGACTTCTTCTTTTCTGTTTTACTACAACCTGAAATTTTGGCCCAGTCATAGGCCTGCCTTTAAGGCATCACTGGTCCCTACAAAGCAAAACTGAAACCTCTCCTGCACGTATGGCCCCTGGTGGGACTGACTTCCCAGAAGGAACTTGTTGGGGGTTTTGCAAAGTGTATTCAGCCACCAATTTATTTTAATGCAACCTGTTTGTTCGCCTTGTTTCACAGAAAGCAACGACCAAGCGGCCTCGGTCAGCGACGACTCAGGTAAGACGTGGTCCAACCCTGCCCTGACGTCTTTGGCACCGAGTTGAGTGGCACTGTCTGCTTGGGTGCAGAGGGACATCTCGCTGTAACATCTTCCACCTGGTTTTTGTGCCTTTACTTACATCCCAGGTTATTGTATTGCAGACCTGGGAGCACCAGCCAACATCCCTGTCCGTGACACGGCCCCAATAATCCCTCCTGCCAAGGTGAGGCCAGCTGACCAGACCTCTGCAGCCAAAATCCTGCCTCCTTCGAACTCCTACAACATTCAGGGATGGGGACGCTCGGGGCTGGGCAGCGTTTCCTAAAGCCTCTGCTGTCTCTGCTGCAGGAGGAGCAAAAGGGGCTGGAGAAACCCCCAACCTGGGACTCAAGTGAGCCGGATGCCCCCCTGCCGCAGCCGCTGCCGCCCCAGGTATTTTAACCCTCTTTGGACGTGCAGCCCGACGGTGCACGGTACGCTTTTGGGCTAAACATGGGACTGCAGAGCGGTGCAGGGACATCCTTGAGCTTACCCAGCTTGCCATGCACTGACTGCCACAGGCATTTCCAGCCCATGCTGGTCCCCAGAGGAGGGTCGATGCTTCCCAGGGGCTGCCTGCACGCAGCGGTGCCCTGAGGCCTCTCGCTCCCCAACCTGGGAGCAGGGCCTGAGCTTGCTTCTCTCTCACCCGAGTAGCCTGCTGAGGCAGCCGGCAGCCCCCGCTGCCCCGGGGCACCTGGTGCTGACTGAGGGCTCCCAGCATGGCCAAAGCCCACGGAGAAACCGGCAGCTTGGACACACCCCGAGGAGGCGGCGAGGCCACCCGTGGGGCGATGGGCAACGCGGCTGGGCTGTGCACGCACAGCGAGGATGCTCGCGGCCGCCCGGATTGCGGTGGCCCCGTGTACCTCACTGCCTCCTCGGTCCTTCCTGGCCCACAGGCACTCGAGCATGTGCCTAAACCC